CACCGCCCCCTAGAGTCGAACACGACTGGACAAAAATTGTCAAGGGGAACCTTTACCTTTACCTTTACCAGGAGGCAGTGGAAGACAGGAGGGCTTGGCGTGCTCTGGTCCATGGGGTCACAAAGAGTCGGACACGACTTAACGACTAAACAAAAACACACTGACGTGGTTTTGCAATGGTTTCATGCCTGTTTGCCAGCTAAGGAAAACATATTGTAAATTGTATATGTGGAAGGGGATGCATCTGGAAAGACCAGCAGACTTCTAATATATTCACCCAGTAATTAATTTTATGGAGATTGTGCGTTTTTCATCTGGATCATTTCCTTTACTTTTGTTTCCTTATTCAGGGCTGTCTGATACTGAGTGATGAGTTAAATCATGCATCTCTAGTACTAGGAGCAAGACTTTCAGGAGCAACAATTCGAATCTTCAAACACAACAGTGAGTCTTTCTCATTCATGCACACCTACCTCTTCAAGAGCATGCTCTGAAAATACAGCTGTTCAATTTTGGACAGGCCATATTGAGAAGCTAGATTGGAGAGCAGTGCACAGTAATTTTGTCAAAGGTTCAAAGTCGAGATCTTTTACTATAGCATCTTTCATTTTATCATTTCAATCCTGACCATATCAGACTCTAGTTCTTTGTATATGAGGTTAAGATCTTTTGCCTCCATGTGCTGTTCAAAGATGCTTAACGTGTATCAGTGTGGAGAGATGCATTTGAAACTCATCATACTCTTTTTGTCAGTACTCAGTTTATTGTTGTCAAACCTAGGAAAAAGAGAGGTGGTGGTGAAAACAGAATAAGAGAGATAAGTAGTTCTCAGAGAGACCATGTTTACTTTTCAGTAGTGTGTTCAACATGTTTTGGAATATATTGTTTCTGTTGTCGAGGCAGCTATAAATAGAGATAAATATACAACATTTTAACAACTAAAGAAAATGATTGTTACATTTGTTGACAAGAATATGTAACATTCTATAATGCTTTAAAAGTACTTCACCATAGTATGCAGTTGTCAAACTTAGATTCAATGCATTCCAATGGGGGAAAAATTCACCAAAAATTAACGAAGACTCAGAACAAAGCCAAATTAAGTTTGCACACGTTTTACAAGGTGCTCTAACGAATCCAAGCATTTAAAACAGTTTCTGAGTCTTCATTAGTTTTTGGTGAATTTTTTCTCCCCCATTGGAATGCATTGAAGTGCCCGTTTGACAGCTGTCAAACGGGCACTTCAATGCATTCCAATGGGGGGAAAATTCACCAAAAATTAACAAAGAGTCAGAACAAAGCCAAATTAAGTTTGCACACGTTTTAGAAGGTGCAGTAACGATTCCAAGAATTTAAAACAATTTTTGAGCATTTTAAGACACTTAAAATTGCAAAAACGGACATCGCAAAACCATTGAAATGCATTGAATAGGCTTCAGTGCATTCCAATGGGGGAAACATTGTATCGCTTAGCGATGTTTCCTATGGCGATTTTCGCTTAAGGACGGTAATCCGTTCCTATTGGAACGGATTATCCGGTTTTCAATGCATCTCTATGGGAAAACATGTTTCGCTTAGCGATGTTTTCCCATAGCGATTTTTTTTTTGAACCAATTAAAATCGTTAAGCGAGGCACCACTGTAATTGCCTCAGTTTTCCCTACAGTTGATCTGGGACAGTCAATTGTTTGATGGTTTATGAAATTATGTAAACTACTCATCTTAAGTAAAGAGAAGGCTTTTTTGGAAGCCATAATTCCTTGTATTCAGTATTTTAACGTTCATATAATATAGTTTTCTAGGTACTGCTCAGAATAAACATAGGCTGTAGTAATGCTTGCTGTTGTTTTTAGTTTTTCTCCAAAGTAACAAAGTTCTTTGGAATCTTGTTCTCTTTGTATATAGATATGCAGAGCCTGGAGAAGCTACTCAAAGATGCCATTGTATATGGACAACCTCGCACACACAGACCCTGGAAAAAAATTCTCATAATTGTTGAAGGCATATACAGGTATAGATATATTCCTCATATGTTCAGGATTGGTCATCTTTTTCTATGGTTTTTGTTGTTTATTTTGAGGCAAATTGCAATCCACATCAATATGAACTCAATTCTTCTTATTATTTTAATCATATTTAGCATTTACAATGATACATTCTCCAAGTTTCTGAGTTACACTGTTGTTACACATAATCTCTGTCATGTACATTGGGAGTGGGAGACCTTGTTGCTGTGACTAAATCTTAACTTCATTGGTTGCTTTGACTATGGTTTACATTGCCTCACTCTGTTAGCTTTGTAATGTACAGTGGCCAAATTTTACTTCTCCAGAAAGGTGGATGGTCATTAAACAACCAGAGTAGCTTACAGGAAAAAAATTAGCAATACATTAAAAACAAAACCACAAGATTACAAAACTAGAAATTTACAAGATAGTCATTAATTGTTGCAGATATGGGACTCATAAAGTCCCTCTGGCTGTGTCTTTTTCATTTTACTTACAGCAGCTGCTTCTTCCAGGTTTCTCTTAAGTAACTCTGACCAAGCAGGGTTGGTGAGAAGAGCAGCTACATATCTCATAAACTGCATATCTCATAAATTTTAGGAGAAGCAGTTGGGCTCATATTGTGGGATGAAAATAATATGTGAATGTATTATTTCTACAGGTAAAGATGCTGCAGAAGCATTCATATCTTCCCCATACACCTTTATGCAAATCTGGAGGTAGATCAGGCAAAACCAAAAGAAAAATAAAAGATAAAGAAGACAAAAATGTTACTTCACCTTAAAGACTAACTGCTATATTTTAATGTGAGCCTTTGTGGACAAGTCCACTTCTTCAGTCTGGAGGTAGATATGATGGATGTTATTTGTTGAAAAAACAATACCAAACATGGAAGTAAGTGGGCTTGTCCTATCCATCTCATCTCTCTCCAGAGGAGTAATCATGTGTTGCCAGTCAGAGGTGATATTCTTTAGTATATTAAGTTTTATGGTACAAGAAACTCTGTGTGAGAAGAGGCCTTGCCACAATAAGACTGAGGTTTTAGGAGGACAGGGTGTGGTAAAGGAATATTTTGGTCTTAAGCACTTATTCCAGAGCCCATTCTTAAACTTTGACAGATATTTCTATAAAACAAGAAAATATTCTGACCTTGTCAGATTTCAATGTATTGATATAATACAATTTGAACACTGTTATTGGTCTATGTATCAGCAAGGCTCCCATCCTGATTTGTGTAGGATTTATGCACATTAATACCCACTCTTTAACGCTTGAATACTGCAGAACTTGTCACACTTTATGTCAACACAGTTCATAAGATAGGCTCAATACACAGGACCACAAAGCAACTTCCTTACATTGAAGGACAGGTAATTATTGTTTTGATTTTGTTCAGTGAAGTTTGAGCGCAGTGGCTGAAATCCTGTTCTACGAGTTACACTGAATAACATTCGTGACACTCGATCTAGCCAGGCTGGGCAGCTGAGGGGCTTGACCCCGAGAAAGGCCCAGAAGGAGAGAACTAGAAACTGGGCCTTCTTGGCGGTGGCCCGTCGCCTCTGGAGCATCTTGCCTCCTGAGATTCACCTGGTACCCTCGCTGGGAGTTGTTAAGAACAAGCTGAAGACTTGGCTCTTTAGGCAGGCCTTTCCCCCTTCCATCAATTAGTTCCCTATGTTTTCCCATCTTGGACTTTGCTTACTTTGTTTGTTTGGATATTGTCTGTTTTAATTCTTGTTTTATATTGCTCAGACTGTAATCCGCCCAGAATAGATTCATTTGCATCTAGATGGGCGGGGTAAAAGACAAACAAATAACACTGATGATGTTATCAGCTGCAGCAATTTTTTGGAAATAAAACATTTCCAATTTGCCCCCCTCTTGAAGGTCCCAAGGTACCGATGACTTTATGGCTTCACAACAATGAATGAGATTCCACAGAAGCCTTGAGGCTGTCATTTCCAAAATATCTTGTGGCTGATGACATCATCAGCCTTATATGGTGTAAATTAACAGAGCAGGATTTAAGCTTCTGTTTCATTTTCTCAGTTGAGCCATGAGGATCTTCTATATATGCAAGATTAATCTTTAAAAAAAAATAAGGCATGCCTCATATGATCGTGCATTTAGCCATGATTATGTAATTGCCTGGACAATAAGTAAGTGGCTTTTCTTTTTTAAATGGGATTAGGATATTATTAAGGGACCCTAAAATTTATAATGATTTCTATTTTTCTACAATAGTATGGAAGGATCCATTGTGCGGCTGCCTGAAGTGATCGCTCTTAAGAAGAAGTACAAATCTTACCTGTATGTGGATGAAGCACATAGTATAGGAGCACTGGGTCCTAATGGCCGTGGTGTAGTGGAGTATTTTGGACTTGACCCTGAGGATGTGGATGTCATGATGGGGACTTTCACCAAAAGTTTTGGAGCTGCTGGAGGATACATTGGAGGCAAGAAGGTAAAAATAGGTTTTGGCAAAAAAGTTGGCAGTTTTAGCTTCAGGATATTGAATGGAAACCCTAGCCAATAGAATAGTGAAAGGTATGGTACTTTTGAGTTTACAGAAATGGCTTGGTACCATAATGACCCAAAAAAGAATAGGCTCTCTACAGAAAGAAACTGAAACAAACGGATCCCTAAAATTTCCCCATGCACATACCTACTCTTGTACAGAAAAGCTTTAGTCACATGAACAATCTGCAGCCTGAAATTGTGTAGCCTAGGTAGAAGTTATATACTTCACTGAAAACTAAGCTTTAGTCAACGGTACATGACAGCTGTTAAGAGAATTACTTGTGTACTTCTTCGATTCTTTCTCTAATTAATCAGGCCCTATCTGCCTTCCAGATTTTGGCTTGGAATTCTGAGAGCTGTGTTTTCAGGTCTTTGTTTGCTTCTCTTCTGCTGGACAGCTGACTACTTAATGGTGCTGTTATGCTTGTTCCAGATAATGGCTTTCGTGAATCTAGATGTCTTTGTTATGGTTTTTTTCTTTTACTAAATTCTTGAAGATGATAGCATGAGTACTAATTTTGGCTGTGTTCTGTGTATGGTAGTCTAAAAACAAGTGAGATCAGAGTAATCCTGCATATTGTGTGCTGAGCACATCCATTAAAGCAAGCCACTTATTCAAACCTGAATCATATTGAACAGAGTCAGACAGATTCACCCCAATATATGTCACTTCCTGATTTCAGTATTGACTAGATTGTAGAATCATTCAGCTCCTGAGCAAAAGATAGTGCTTTCCTTGGAGGCTGCAACTGTTTTATTTTTCAGTAAGCAAAACTTCAGTTTGTTAAGACAATTCTATTCATTATGGTTGAAAGACAGAACTGCTATTAGTATGTCCTAAGTTATATAGCTTGCAACTACAGTTTCTAAAGTCTTCTATAACAGTAACAGATACATTGTCTAGCATATCCACTACAGTATTCTAGACATTTGCTGACTTCATTTATCTACAGTGCTTCTTATCCTTTTTTTTGCCTAGTCTAATCAATGTACATCACACATCCTTCAACTGTTTACTCTTTATTTAACACCCACCTACCTTCTAGATAATGCCATTTTTGCCTTGTCCCAGATCTTTTCTTAGTCCACATCCATTACATGCCATTCATGCTCTAAATACCCATGGTGATGTTGTTATGTGCTGTCAAGTTAGAACCAACTTCTGGTGGCCTTAAGGCTTTCAAGGTAAGTGAGATATTTAAGGAGTGGTTTTATCAGTTCCATACCCCCAGTAAATTTCTGTGACTGGGCGGAAATCAGAAACTAGGCTTTCTAGATCCTATTCCTAGATCACTCTATGCACTGCACCACGCTGGAATAGCTCAGCATTCACCTCCAAGACCAATAATGCTGTGCTGTCCTCCTACGGTGCCTTAATTTGGTAGAGCATGCATATCTTGGCCATATCCTGCAACACGCAGCAGTCTCAGCATCTGTGTCCTTGCTTATACACAATATTTTAATCTTACATGCCAACCCCCTAATTTCAATCCATACATTCACATTATCAGTCCCTAGACTACTTCCTCCAAGTAGTTCCTAAACATTTACTACCTAATGGTGATTGAGACGTACGCTAGCACTCAGCTATTAGCCAGAATTTTGTCTCCTTTTTGAAATCATGTATCTTTTAACCTGTAGATATCCAGTACGCTGTGTGTAGTGGATAGAGGGACTGACATGTGTTCCAATCCCCAGTCATCAATGGAAACTCACTAGGAATGTGTGAAACTGGTAAAACTGCACCTTAAATATCTCACTTACCTTGAAAGCCCTGTTCGGTCACTTTAAGTCAGTTCCAGCTTGACAGCACATAATGTCACATCACATCTGTTAATCTTAAGTATGTCATTCTTTTCATCTTTCCAGAAAGCACATGAGGGAAGCTAGGTGTCTATTGGCAGCAGGGGATCAGAAAGAAATGTAACCTATTTTCTTGTCCATCAGAAATCTGTGTGAGATGCCAAGGGGAGAAATTTCCAACCTATCAACTGGCAAGAGTATGCATATCTTGGCTAGTGTCAGCACCTGTGTCCTTGCTTATACATAATACAGCCTTTTTTCCTTTGATTTCTGAAGCTGTACAGATTATAATACTTTGCCAAGCACTTCCATCCTCCACACAAAATGGCATACTGTTAGAATGAAAATTTTCTATGGTATAAGAAAGTGGGATTTTATGGTTTTGCCGGTGTTCGTATTATGCCTGTATAAACCTGTAATAATATTTAGATGAATCTCTTGAGTTTGAGTAGAATTCTGCTGTATGTTTTTAGTGTCTCAATGCCTGCACCCTAACTTTTAAAAGTGAATAGTATCAGGTTAATTCAGAATAGGCATATTTTGTTGCACAACTAGTCACATGGTGCTAGGAAGCACCTGCCCTGAATTCTTATTACAGTTAACTTTTGAAAGTTTCATCAGTGGTGTTATACTGGCAGGCATAATTAGTAGGATTCCAGTCACAGAGTTATAAAATCTGTATTGAATCTATTCTTTATATCAGAGTGCTTCACAATTTAAAATTATGGACATACTGTGTATGAAATATAAGTAAAATTAAAACAAATTAAAATGTTAAGATAATCATACTCTTTTTGACCAGAAACAGGCTATTTCCCCTTTTTGCTATCTCACCTTTTTGCTTGACCTTCTTTTGTATGCATGGTGAGGCAAAAAATTGCATACATATAAATGCTGCATTGACAAGTCACGAAAACATTGTCTTGTATCTAAGTAGCTGGCTCTGTTTTACTTTAGAATTCTTTGAGCTTACTATTTCACTTTCAACTATTAAGTGACTTCCAAGTGGTCCAACTACAGGAAGTATAAGGTCTGGTTATATAGAATCTATCTTTATTTAGATAAATCTGTAATAATTACATGATATTAAGACTTTCATGAATTGAGATGGTGATCAACAAAGAAGTACAGTGGTGCCTCGACTTACGAATGTCCTGACATATGATCATTTCGAGTCACGACCAGCTCTGGCTGCAAAATTTTGCTTTACTTGCGACCGGAGCTTCGAGTTCCAACCAGAAAAGGGCAGGGGAAAAAGGCGGGGAATTCAAATTGCTAACCGTTGGTGGTGAAGAGGCTGCTTCTTTGTAGCTCTTTCACCCCAGCGGTTAGAGTGTGCGATCGGAGGAGGCTTTGGACTTCCTGGTAAGGTGCTGCTTTCTACTTTTAAAAAACTGTTCTGGGTGGGTTTTGCAGCAGGTTATTGGCTGGGTGGTGGGATTATGTTTCTATGCTGTGATGCGTCTTGTAGGGTTTGTTTGTTTTTTGGGTGTTTTTTTCCCATTTCTGATGCATCTTGCAGGGTTTGTTTGCTTCCTGCTTTCCCTTTTTTTTTCTTTTTTTTTTTTTGGCATTTCCGAAGAGTCTTGCATGGTTTGTTTGCTTTTCTTTCCCTTCCCTTCAGCTAGAACGGATTAATCGAATTTCCGATGGGTCTTGCAGTGTTTTTGGGTGTGTGTGTGTGTAATTTTTTCCTTTGGCCAGAACAGATTAATTGTGTTTCATTGTATTTCTGTGAGAAATTGTGCTTCAACTTAATGACGATTTTGAGTTACGACCGGAGTTCTGGAACCAATTAAGTTTGTAATTTGAGGTACCACTGTAGTAAATTAAATGAATAAAGACTAAGAAATCGGAAGATGCATAAAACTAAAATACTTCAGGCATGTACTTTCATGGGAATGAAAGGTTCAGATTATTACAGTTGACTATAAAATAAATAGGGAAAAAGAAGAACCTGCTGCCTGACAAACCTCAGAGATTGGTTCAAAATAGATGCAATATCATATCAGCTGCTGTATCTGTATTCAAAATAGCCATGATAACAGCTAACTTCCAACAGGAAACGGACTAGTAGAAGATGATACTTATTAATTAGCAATAATAACATAACTGGCAATAAAGGTAACAAAGATGTTCTAACAACTTTTTTTGTTTTTAGACCAGTATTGGAGCTCTGTGAAATTGTAGTAAAATTTAGATAATCATTTACACATTGGCTGTGGTTTCATTTAGCATTGCATAACTGCTGAAGATAGGCCCGTATTGTATCACTGCCTCATTACAAAAGAGTGTTTAATTATGTACTCTATACAGTGGTCCCCAAACTTTTTGGAACTGCGGACCAGTTGGGAGGGTGGGGTCTGTGCCCAGCGGGGTGGGGGCATCCCCATGGTTGCGGGTGGTCCTGGCATGTTTGCAAGGGCATGACATGCTCGTGGATGGTCATGGTGTGCTTGCGTTCATGCACGGTGAGCACGGCATGCTTGCGGATGGGCGTGGTGTGCTCTCACACGTGTGGATGGGCAGGGCACGCTCACGGGTGAGTGACGTGCATGCATGCGCATGAATGCAACATGCCCATCCACGAACGTGCTTGCTCACCTGCGCATGAGTGCAAGCTCACCATGCCCACCGTGCATGGGGGGGGGAGATCTGTCTCTGCAGCCTGGTTTTGCAAAGCCCATGGACAGGCACCGGGCTGGGGAACCCTGCTCTATAAGACCAAATTAATTCATAAAACATGGCCCATGCTTCATGCTTTATTAAAATCATTCTGGGTACCTGCATGAGGGGTTTGATGCTGGAATACTCATCAGGATGCGGCAATAAAAAAATTTAACATCAGCAAGAGATTAATTTTTAAAGTGCTATTTATAACATCTCTCCATCTCTCAGCTGTATACAACTGAGGGTTTTTTAATAGGGAGTGTTAACCAGCTTCTCTTGTGCCATTGAACCAGTCCATCACAATAATATATGTTTTCATTTTTTCCAGGAGTTGATTGATTATCTTCGTGTGCATTCTCACAGTGCAGTGTACGCCACATCATTATCTCCTCCAATTGTTCAGCAAATTGTCACAACTATGAAGTGCATTATGGGTGAAGATGGCACAACACTTGGTGAGTCTGGAGCATAATCATAGGTAGATTTTTTTTTAAGGAGACATTTGTAGCTAATGGGAATAGATTTTGTTGCCCTGGTATAAATGACAGATTGATCTTTTCCAGGAGTATTCAGAAGATAATTTATTATTCATTGATAGTTTTTCTTTTTTGACACTTGAAGTGTAGAAACTAAGTTCATTTTTGTCTGATACTGATGGATCACAATATTGCACAGTTATTACTGTTCCTGAACTCTTGTCTCAGTGACATTTTTCCTAGTTCACTTCAGCCAGTGTACTTTCTATATAGCAAAATTTACTGTACAAACACAACTAGACTACCTGGATTTCGCAGGATCTGACTACTTGTTGCCATGCATTTACCTTGCATTTTTATAAATGTTGGTAAAAGCACATGGTTAACACAAATGGGATGATGTTCAAAGCTCTACACTTGGCTTTAAGACTTTTACTACTGTATTTTACTACTTAATTTTTAAAATGCTATTTATAACATCTCTCCATCACTCAGTTGTATAAAACCGAGGGGTTTTTTAAAATAGGGAGTGTTAACCAGCTTCTCTTGTTGCACCATTGAACCTGTCCATCACAATAATATCTGTTATTAACCATAGTAACAATAATGCTACTTATCTCTGCGAAGCTGAAAGCAACCTTTTCTCTTTTCTCTTGGATCTTAACACATCTGTGTTAGATCCTTCCAAAGTAGAGGTATAGTTGTAAAGTAACTCTGGGTCCAGTACTACCATGTATTGCTTCATATGGTGTAACCAGCTATTTTTGTGTAAAGGTAATTTGTCCAGTTGTGTCTGACTCTAAGCGGCGGTGCTCATCTCAGTTTCCAACCCATAGAGCTAGCGTTTGTCCGTAGACAATTCTGCATGGCCAGCGTGACTAGACACGGAACACCATTTACCTTCCCACCAAGGTGGTACCTATTTATCTACTCGCATTTTTGCATTTTGCATGCTAGGTTGGCAGGAGCTGGGACAAGCGACGGGGGCTCACTCCGTCGTATGGATTCGATCTTACTACTGCAGGTCTTCTGACCTTGCATCACAGAGGCTTCAGCGGTTTAACCTGATTCTGATAAATGATACAAAACTATGAAGTGTTTGGATCCTGCTTGGATCACATTCAGTCCCAAAATAAACAGATTTTGATTCTTTGCAGGTGTTGCATTTGGCCACAAGATGGCACTGTGCATAAACCTATTTAGCACCACCAATCTGGTCAAAGGTTTGTCCAAATTTTCTGTGGAAAACTGTTTTCTAAGATCTAACTTTTATCTGCTTTGTTAAACATAGCTTTGTATCATTTCTACTGGCCAGGTTCAAAACTGTGCAGCAAGGGAAAAACAGTATACTGTGTGAAATCACTGTCTGAGATGTATATGTTCACAGTTATTTCATCTGTAAGGGGTCTGGATTGGAGAGTTATGCTCAGGTTCAGAGGGAGGATATCCCACTCCATTAAGTGATAACTTTGAAAACAGAGTTACAAGGAGTGAAGAAGTTGTCAGCTTTGTAGAACAGACATTTCAGAAAACTCCACTGATGATATGTCTGTATGTGTCTGTCTGTTCTTGTGTTTTATTTACTTACTTACTTGCTTGCTTATTGACTTATTCATGTACTTATATATTGGTCTTTATTATTGTACCCATTAGTGCAAAGCACTATTCTGGACAATTAATAATTGATAAAATCAAACGGAAATAAAAATAACTCAGGAAGAAACAAAGATAAAATTAAACAAACAAATCAACTCAGACATCACAAACAAAAGGACGTTATAGTCAGAAACCCATAATAGGGTGGACAGGACGACAGGCAAGTTTTATGTAAAGTGTACAGATTTGCGTTTTTGGACTACATTGCCAGAATTTCCTAGACAACTGTGGACAGTTCTAGGAAGAGTAGTAAAAACAACAAAACAAAGAACCAGAAATCTGTCCACCTCTAATTTTATATTAAGAATATTAAGAAAGCAAGGTCTCTGAATATTAGGTATGTAATGTGTCTGAAATTCATATCTCACAAAAGTTCACAGCTAATAATGTGATGGATAATACACCATCATAGTAGTTAAGATTCAGAGGAAAGTTGCAACTAGTATCCTGCTAGCTAATAAGGATAAATCAGAGTGTTAGTTCCAACTAGAGTAGATCCATAGAATGAATGAAATAAGTGCTGACTTAACAAGACCCATTGATCCAATGGGTATATGCTAGCTCAGTTTAGCCTTTGGCTTTGACCCCCAGTCACTGTCCTTTTGATTTGAAGACTGACAGAGGAAAATGGAGATAATTATGTCAAATTGGGTTTTGTAGTTTCATCTATTTTGAATTCTGAAGTGGAATTTAGAAATTTCTGATGCCTGTTACATTTGGCAGGGTGAAAGACATAGCATAGGAGGTTTGAGGGGTAAGCAAATCTCGCACAATCCGACGCTGGGATTTTGCGAGTTTTGATTGTTACTCTTGAGCTGCAGGCTGTGCAGCCTGCGGCTCAAGAGGCTGGAAGCGAGCTCAGTGTCGGGCTGCAGTCTCCTTTCCTTGGTAAAGCGCTCCTGCGCCCCTGCTCAGCCCGCAGCTCCTCCATCTGTCCAGCTGCCCACCTTGCCTGCCAGCTTGCCTGCCCCTGCGCACTCTGCTGGGGACTCGCATCCCAGGTTGGGTTATTGGGGGCTAAGGGAGAAACTTAACCAACCTGGGGGGGAAAGGGAGCAAGCGGAGTGCTGCATGCAACGAGCTGGGGCGCTGTCTATCCCCACTGCCTCCCACAGGAGCCTCGAGGGTTATGTTCCAGGCCAGTCGCCGGCCTGAGAAGAAGCTGTGAGGTGAGTCCGGCATTGGTGCCCGGCTGGAGCCATCCAACAGGCGAGGGGGCTTGGGTGAGGGAGCCTGGGACGCGAGCTGGGTTGGGGGGCCGAGAGCACGCACGCACGCAAAGATGGCACGGCTGTGCGCCCCAGAAGAGCAGGGGCGGTGGAGCTGGAGGACGAATGCCCCTTTGGAGAGCTGAGCCCCAGAGCAGGTCCCTCGGCCTTCCTTTGTTTCGTTTGGAGCTGAGATTTTTGTGTTTTGCTTTTTTGCGTTTTGGGTTTTTTTTTAAGTTTGTTGATCAGCTGCCTCTCCTCTTCCAAAATGATGCAATGCCAGGCCTAGATATCTCTCCTGCTCTCCCTCACCATGTACGGCCTCGGTGGCGGTGGCGGTGCAGGAATAGTGAGTGTGCGGTAGCATCAGGGTATGGCAGGTGGATCTGGCCCTTTCCTGTGTGCCCTCCCCCCACCGGCCCATGCCAGGGGAAGGTGATTAAAACAAAAAACCAGGGACTGAGATTTTCCTAGTTGGTTTTGCAAGCCTTCTCACTGGACACTGGAAAATTTTTGCTAATTTTTTTCTTTGCACTTATATATTGCCTTTCCAGTGAGCTCAACAGTAGTGGCCCACGTCCCTCTTTCTCTCCTCCCCCCCCCAACCATTTATTTATTTTATTTAAAAAATTTTTTACCCCACCTTTCTCCTTAAAAGGAGCGAAGGTTGCTTACCACAACTTTTTCCTCACTAAAAACAGTGAGAATGCAAACATTAAAAAAGGAATGAAGCAAATATTCTATTAAAATGGTAATTAAAATAAATACAAAAAACACATCTAAAACAACAGAGCACAACAATCCAGTTTTTAAAAAACCCTCTCAGACTGCAATCCCGGAGGGAAAATTTGCCTGAAGAGAAAGGTCTTTGCCTGTTTGCGGAAGGGCAGCGAAGAGGGGGCCAGCCTGGCCTCCAGTGGGAGGGAGTTCCAGAGACTAGGAGCAGCAACAGAGAAGGCCCACTTCCATGTCCCCACCAAGCAGACCTGTGAAGATGGTGGGACCAAGAGAAAGGCTTTCCTGGATTATTTTAACTCCTGGATAGGTTCATAGGGTGAGATATGGTTTTTTAGATAGCTTGGAGGCAGCCCTGTCCTGTTTATGTCTGAATAAAAGTGGGTGAGAATCGGCTGTAACTCGGGGGAAAGTTCATAAAACACTGTTTCATTTTATTTTTAAGTAAAGTTGGTTCGGCCCCTAAACACAGTTCAGATTTTTCATGTGGCCCCCTATAGAAATTAATTGCCCACCCCTGACTTAGATGAACTGGCCAAAAAGCTGTGATATCAGGAGTGGGACTAGGCTCCTCAATGTCATCTGGCCCTTGGAGAGATGATCAGGGGAAACTAGGGTACTTCATACTGTGTAGTACATGCTTTGTTCTAGTAGTAGTATAAGAGGTCCATACACTTTATTTTAAACATCTTTTCTGCCCATGTTGTCCTCCAGAGACTCATAAGATACCCTGCAAGGCTTTCTCAGTGTGTGATATCTCTTGCATGAGAGTAACTAGGCAGAACTGTGTGTGGTTGTGTATGTGGGAGTTAGGAGAGAATGTTGAGAATAGAACCAAGTCTGTTCTAGCTCAGACACACTCCTTACCAGCTTTCTACAATGTGACACTCCAGATGTTTTGGACTTCAGCTTCTCTTAGCTCCCACCAGCCTCTTGCCAAGGCTGGAAAGGCTGAAAATTATAATGCAAAACATTTGGAATGCTCCAGATTGTAAAAGGCTGGACCAATTCAGTTTATTGTTTCTTGGGAGATGAGGAGGAAGATTTCATAAAAAATCACCAGCCCAACTGCAAGTCCTTCTTACCATTTAATGCTTGAGTTGTTGAGTGTGGATACATGTATGTTTGGAATAAAATCACCACACTGCAGAAGCCTTGTCAGTTAGAACCTGACACATGTCATATTCAGTTAGAACCTGACACCTGTCATATTCAGGTACTGTCTGTCATTGACATATTTTCCCCGTTCTACTGTCATTTTGCAAGTACTCCCCAGTACCTTGTATACCTCAGGTACTGGGGAGTACTTGCAAAATGACAGTAATTACCTCAGATGGTAATTCCTACATGGTCAGTGGATATAGAAAACTGACACCTCGG